TATAATGGACTTCAATGGGGTCCAAACGGTTCAAGGTCTAAATGAGAGTTTCAGTGCAAACTGTTCAAAGGGCTTTAAACGATTCCAGACGATGAATAAGGGTCTTATCAAGCGAAACGATCGCTCATTTAATAAATAAATACAAAAGTTTAAGTTTTATAAGCTCAAATGCTCGCCTTGCTCTGTTCTGTGACGCGCGTTCGTGACTCTCCCGTTCGAACTCGTTCATCAAAATGAATGATTCTTTTTTCAATGAATGAAAAAAAAAAATCATCAAAAACCTTAATTTCTTTTCAACTGAAGAAAGATGGACGACATGGGGGTGAGTAAATTATAAGCAATAGTTTTTTGTAATTGTGAACTTCCTTGAATGTAAATCCGTTCATTGTGTGTTCATGTTAGTTCACAGTGCAGTAACTAATGTTAACACGACTATAATAAAGTATTAGTATTATATTGATCTTGTGTGCCGGAGACGAGAGCGTACTGTAACTCCAGCATGAGAAATGCATGAGATGTAAAAGAATAATGAAGTGCTCATAATGCCAGTCCTCCTTCACTGGTGTTTAAAAGCATCCCATAATGCACCTGGTGAACTGCAAACGTTCTCAAATCAAGATTCATTCACTGGAGAAGCAAAAGTCTCGAGTTTGTGCTTAAATATATGCAGAAATAACCTTCAATTAAGTCAAAACAAGATTATTTATCACTGTCAGATTTGTTCTGTTTAAGGAGGCATAAACTCCCTTCATTTTAATACATTTCTTTAGATATATTTGATGCATTACCCAGTTTGCTCATTACATGGATGCAGAAAAATGCCGCATTACAACTTACAGTGTAAGAAAGAGAAATGATGAGAAAGATCTTTGGCCTAGTAACTATTGGTGGATGTCTCGCTCTGGAGGCGGGCATATGCAAATGTGTTTGCCCATGTGACGTCAGAAAAAAACAAAAGGACAATCCAGCACAACAAACACATGCACGAATTACATGACAACTATTACAAGATGATAAAACACTGACGAATAGTGTGTGTGTGTTGAGTCCACATCTCCACTGAACTTTCTTTAAACACTAATTCCAGCGAGTGAAATAATCTGGGTGGATTTAGGAGTTGCTAAATGATTGAAATCAGCAGCTTTTGGATTTAGAGAGATAGAGGAGGTGTGTGTGAAAGCTTTGGCTTATGGTGACCTACATATAGTGGCACGTTCCCTCAGTCGTCCACGTCTGTAATGATGTGTTTGTAGACGAATAAACACGCATGATTCAGCATATCAGCGAAACACTCGTGATGACGGACAGACGCTTTATTCATCTCCTGTCCAGATAGACATTTGTGTTTAATGACCTACAAGTTTGATTAAACCATTCAAATGGGAGGAAAATATATACATATATTTTTTTAATATGAAGGAAGAACAAAACACTAAACATATTTAGGGTGAATTTTGATGAAATTATTTGCCAATTTGTATTTTATTTTACTATTCAACAAAATGCACAGAAAACAATAAGCTTCAGGAAAAAGCAAACATGATCAGTTATTGATATCTGATTTCTTTGCCTGGACAAAAATGATGTTGCACATTTTTTCATAATTCATTGCGTTATTATTAGGGCTGTCAAACGATTAATCGCATCCAAAATAAAAGTTTGTGTTTACATAATACATGTGGGTGCACTGAGTATAATTATTTTATATATATAAATACACACACATGCTTGTATATTAGATTTATATATAATTTATATTATATATAAATATCAATATTTTACATATAAATAATACTTTTTTTCTTAAATATACAAGCATGTGTGTGTATTTATATATATAAAATAATTATACACAGTCCACCCACATATAGCCTATTATGTAAACACAAACTTTTATTTTGGATGTGATTAATCGTTTGACAGCCCTAGTTATTATCACTAATAAAACAAGCGATTCAAGGGCACAACTACACAATATAACAAAATCAATAGTAATATTTGAATAAAGGATGAAGATTGAGATTGCTTGAAAATGTACATTTTTAAAACATTTTTGACATCAACATGTTTTTTATTGTCTTATATTTCCATTATGTAATCTATAATCTATGGCCAGTTTGCTGCTTAATGGTCCTTAAAATAGGCAAGAAGTTTATTATTTAGAGTGAGATATGACCTTTTATCGCTCACACTTCTAGTGAAGTGTGTGTGTGTGTGTGTGTGTGTGTGTGTTCTCCCATCATGAACACATGCAGCATTTCATGTTTTGCTTCTCATGCATTATTCCATACACATAAAAGCATGGTTTGCACATCAGAGAGTGTGTGTAACAGCACATCTTTCTCATCGCTGTCCGATTCAGCTGGAACACACACGTGAAACTTACAATATCCTGCAAAACTTCATTTATTTCAGTAATTCAACTTAAAAGGTAAAACTATAGACTCATTTCATGCAAAGTGAGATATTTTGACTTTATTTGTTATAATTGTGATGAAACCTCAAATTCAAAACAAGAATATTGTGAAAAGGTTTTGAATTGCTGAAATAAATGTACCACTTTCACCTGTATCCAGAATATATGAATATATGCAAAAATCCTGAGTGACATGACTTAGTTTTTATTTAGTTTATTTATCCTTCAAAGACTGTCTGTTATTATAAATGTATTTACTCAAGCATTTTCATTAATGAGAAATTCTCAAAATATTACGAAGCTAGTAGTAGTTGTGTGTGTGTGTGTGTGTCCATGTGAAATGTTTGGAGGACTGTACGGTCAGAAGTGTCCGACACTGACATCACATCTTCACCCGTTATTCAAATATTATTATAGATTTTGTTGTAGTTGTGCGAGTCGATTGTTTTATTAGTGATAATAACGCAATACAACATGAGCAAATATGCAACATTATTTTTGTCCAGGCAAAGAAACACATGCAAAAATAAGAGAGAACCAAACAAATATTAATAACTCATCATCATGATCATGTAATCATTTTTTGCATGGTTAAATTGAACCTGTAGCTGTAGTTTGCATTTCTGTCATCCCTTACCCAAGTTTAGTGTTTTGTTCTTCCCTCATATGTAAAATATGAATAAAATATGTTCCGCATGCGTTCTGCAAGTGGAAGTGAAGCGTTCCCTCGTCACACACTCTAAATAACGTGCCAAAGGATCTCAGTATTCAACTGTTGCTGTGTGACACACACTTACGCAACGCTTCCTCAATGATCTGACTCGGGTTTAGATTAATAATAAGTCGTTTGATATTCATAGAGACCCGTTCCTCTTCAGTGCAGTCTCTTTCTAATGTCTGCTATAGGTGGGTTTAATGGTTTGTTGAATAATTGTGAACATAGATCTACTGTTATGCAAGAAAAAATGACTAATTTTGGGTTGGTTTAGAGAATTCAGCCCAAAACAGACTCACTGTAAAAAATAAACCGTAAATTTTACGGTAAAGAAACGGCAGCTGTGGTTGCCAGAACTTTACCGTTAAAAATACGGTAGGAACGTTAATGGTTTAACAGACTTAACTTACATTTACAGTAATAAACCGTAATTTATTTTCTGATTAAATGTGGATTTACCAACTTGATATCTGTTTTAGACCATCGTAGTACACTGACAACCAACAATCATCACAACAGTGATGAGTTACATGAGCAATCACAGCTCATCACAACAAGTGAATACTTAATTAAAGAAGCTGCACAATCTCATTCACACAAACATTAAGCACCATAATGGTAACACACATGAAATTAAAAAAATGCAATAAACATTAATTTAACAACATTAAATGTAACATATAACCCTAATGTACATAACTGATTAGAAAAAAAAAAAAAACAATAAAACTACGAGGAACCTATAGTTATTTCAACAAAAATACATCAAATGTGAAGTGTCACACAGGGAATTGTGGGAATGTCAATTTACGTTTTTTCACTGTAAATTATACAATGAGTTGTTCTTTTTCACTTTCAAAAACTGAAAATTTAACGGTATTTTACTGTAAAATTATATCACGGTCATTTACCGTGTATAGTACGGAAACTTTCTGTTTACCAATTAACAGTTTTGCACTGTAGCATTTTTACAGTATTTTACCGTTAAAATCACGGTTATTTTGTACAGTGTATGAGACAAGACCAAACATTTTATTACTGTGCTTTACAGAATATTTGCTTTATTTTATTGTTTGTGTAGTTGTATTTTGTGTAGCCTACATTATTATGTGCTTCATGAATAAATTGGAATTGTAAGAACTGCAATATGAGACACATAAGTGAATGTGAAACTAATTGTGTTTCAATTTGCTCAAACTGCAACAAAAAATAAAACAAAAAGAATCCACATAGTGTTTCCACGAAGCAAGAACTGTTTATTATTGTTATCTGATGCCATGGTAATAGGCTCTAACAGAAAGTTCAGTGTTGTAAACGCGCATACATTTTTTAAAAAGGAAAAACTATAGATAATAAGTGCAGAAGCATGTCAACACTGATGTTCTGTTTGTTTTGATGGTTGCCGACTCTGCTTCAGGTCAGAGCTCCGAGTTTACATGTTGTAATTTTGAGTTATATGATTGTTTTCAGAAAGGTTTCCCACGAACAGTCCTCTCGCTTGCTATTGGTCACACTCGCAGATAGCTCCGCCCCCAAACCCGACGCCATTGGTTAAGCACTGTATCTTTTAACGCTCGCACCTTGACGCGCTCGAGAACATCTGGTATTATTATAGAACAAGTTTTATGTACATTTTATTTATTTTTTTTATAGCTTTTTCCCTTTCTCTGTATCCCCACATGTTCCTTGTTCATTATAATTATGCAAAAAAAAAAAAAAAAAAAAAAAAACTTGACACGCTCAAACAGAACGCGCGCTCACAGACAGTCACACAGGTGTGTGTTTCTGTTCATCATCCCCCCTTCTCTCTCTCTCTCCATCTCCGTTTATCCTCCTCCTCTTCTTTACGGAACGGCCACGCGCTTCTCGGTCCACCCCAGGGCAGGCTCGCGCTAGTGATGACGCGACCTCCGCACGCGCACGAGCATGCATTCATTGGCCGTGGACATGTGAGATTAGATGGAGGTCCATCAGCTGGGGTTCTCGTGCTCAAGAACTGCTGTGTTTTACACTCCTCTCCATGCGATCCCTCGCTTTATCATCGGCCCTCGTCCGCGTCTCGCGCGCTGCCTCCGCCGCGATGGGGAATTAACTAAAGTTGCGCGCGAGCACCGGGAGATGTGAAGGATGTAATCTGAGGGAAAATCGGATCGTGTTTCAGTCATGCAGGAGCAGAGGAAGATGAAGATGAAGATCCCACAGGACCTGCTATCAATCGCTCTTTTCTAAACCCTTTCCACCGAGACTCTTGAGGATGAAATCGGAGTGAGTTCGGATCCATGTCATGATGGACGTGTTCAGTTTCGTGAGGAGGTGAGTCTGCGGCGGTCTGGACACTGTTATTATGATGTGTTTTAATCGCGTGTTTGACTGGATGATGAATATGCAGAAGTGCTGCTGCTGCTGATGATGATGATGATAATAATAATGATGATGATGTCACGGGAACTGATGAGAACGCATCTGTCGCATCTTCTCGTTCATTCAGTGCCTTAAAATATCCAAATATCTCTTACAGTTGAAGTGCCTGAAATACGAACCTTTGGAAATAGTGAATATTATTGCCTGTTTTACACACGCACACAGTTCATTTAAAATCCTGCGTTTAGAGATTTATAGTAGGCTAGTTTTGTATTTTAAATCAGAAATGTGTGCATTAATCAATGGTATCAAACTATACTGATGACACACACATGCCTATTGTGCAAATCAATAATAAAGTGATGAATATAATAGCACTTATCACAAATAATGTCAAACTTGACATATGATATGGTACTGATATACTGATGTATTGCTATTAGATCACTTCATTTTACTCAGACAGTTAAGACATCTTGCAACTATACACACACACACACACACACACACACACACACATATATGCATGCATGTAATTTATTGTATGTATTAAGCATTAATTTATGTAGCTACATCTCTTGGCCTGTTGTATTATTTCTGATAATTCTGCATATATTATCAAGCTCATATGTTGATCAGTGGAGAATGGCGCTTGTGATTTAATTCGTGTCCCTCATATATAAGCCGGATGTTAAGCTCATTTCATCCCTGCGACTCTAAACTCTCCAACCTATTTGGCTTGTTTGATTTTTCTTGATTTTATCCGGGCTAATCCTCCTAAAGGATTGGCCTCTGGATCCCAGTGGCATCGTCGCCTCGTCCAGCGTTTCTCCTGCACAACAATCATCCAGATTAAACATCTATAGAACAGCTCTTTATTTCATCTGGCAGCTTCATGCATGAAAGAATGGGTTTGTTCTGTGTGAACGGGAGGATAGAGGCCTGCAGGACTATTCCCAGTGCTGTTCCCTGAATTCCCAGTTCTGTTACCAGTGTTTTTCCCAGTGCTGTTCCCAGAATTCACAGTGCTGTTCCCAGTGCTGTTCCCAGTGCTTTTCCCAGTGTGGTTCCCAGTGTGGTTCCTAGTGCTGTCCCCAGTGCGGTTCCCTGTTCCCAGTGCGATTCCCAGTGTTGTTCCCAGTGCGGTTCCCAGTGTTGTTCCCAGTGCGGTTCCCAGTGTTGTTCCCAGTGCAGTTCCCACTGCTGTTCCAAGAGTTTCCAGTGCTGTTTCCAGTGCAGTTCCCTGTTCCCAGTGCGGTTCCCAGTGTGGTTCCCAGTGCGGTTCCTTGTTCCCAGTGCAGTTCCCACTGCTGTTCCAAGAGTTTCCAGTGCTGTTTCCAGTGCAGTTCCCTGTTCCCAGTGCGGTTCCCAGTGTGGTTCCTAGTGCTGTTCCCAGTGCGGTACCCTGTTCCCAGTGCGGTTCCCAGTGTTGTTCCCAGTGTGGTTCCCTGTTCCCAGTGCTGTTCCAAGAGTTCCCAGTGCTGTTTCCAGTGCAGTTCCCTGTTCCCAGTGCTGTTCCCAGTGTTGTTCTCAGTGTTCCCAATGCTGTTCCTAGTGGTCCCAGTGCTTTTCCCAGGGGTGTTCCCAGTGCTATTCACAGTTTTCCTAGTGTTTTTTCAAGAGTTCCCAGTGCTGTTCCCAGTGCTGTTCCAAGAGTTCCCAGTGCTGTTTCCAGTGCAGTTCCCTGTTCCCAGTGTTGTTCCCAGTGCGGTTCCCTGTTCTCAGTACAGTTCCCAGTGCTGTTCCAAGAGTTCCGAGTGCTGTTTCCAGTGCAGTTCCCTGTTCCCAGTGCTGTTCCCAGTGTTGTTCTCAGTGTTCCCAATGCTGTTCCTAGTGGTCCCAGTGCTTTTCCCAGGGGTGTTCCCAGTGCTATTCACAGTTTTCCTAGTGTTTTTTCAAGAGTTCCCAGTGCTGTTCCCAGTGTTCCCAATGCTGTTCCTAGTGTTCCCAGTGCTGTTCCCAATGCTCTTCCCAGTGCTATTCACAGTTTTCCCAGTACTGTTCCCAATGCTGTTCCCAGTGCTATTCACAGTTTTCCCAGTACTGTTCCCAATGCTGTTCCCAGTGCTATTCACAGTTTTCCCAGTGCTGTTCCCAATGCTGTTCCCAGTGCTATTCACAGTTTTCCCAGTGCTGTTCCCAATGCTGTTCCCAGTGCTATTCACAGTTTTCCCAGTACTGTTCCCAATGCTGTTCCCAGTGCTATTCACAGTTTTCCCAGTACTGTTCCCAATGCTGTTCCCAGTGCTATTCACAGTTTTCCCAGTGCTGTTCCCAATGCTGTTCCCAGTGCTATTCACAGTTTTCCTAGTGTTTTTTCAAGAGTTCCCAGTGCTGTTCCCAGTGCTGTTCCTAGTGCTGTTCCTAGTGTTGTTCGCAGGGATTTTCCCAGTGCTTTTCCCAGTGTTTTTCCCAGTGCTGTTCCAAGAGTTCCTAGTTCTGTTCCCAGTGTTTTCCCAGTTCTGTTCCCAGTGTTTTCCCAGTTCTGTTCCCAGTGTTTTTCCCAGTGCTGTTCCCAATGCTATTCCCAGTGCTATTCACATTTTTCCCATTGTTTTTCCAAGAGTTCCCACCCAGTGCGGTTCCCAGTGTTTTTCCCAGTGCTATTCACAGTTTTCCAAGTGTTTTTTCAAGAGTTCCCAGTGCTGTTCCCAGTGCTGTTCCCAGTTCTGTTCCCAATGCTGTTTACAGTGCTGTTCACAGTTTTCCCAGTGCTGTTCCAAGAGTTCCCAGTTCTGTTCCCAGTGTTGTTCCCAGTGTTTTTCCAAGAGTTCCCAGTGTTGTTCCCAGTGCTAATAACAGTTGTCTCTGTGTTTTTCCAAGAGTTCCCAGTGTTGTTCCCAGTGCTAATAACAGTTGTCTCAGTGTTTTCCAAGAGTTCCCAGTGTTGTTCCTAGTGTTGTTCCCAGTTCTGTTCACAGTTTTCCCAGTGCTGTTCCAAGAGTTCCCAGTTCTGTTCCCAGTGTTGTTCCCAGTGTTTTTCCAAGAGTTCCCAGTGTTGTTCCCAGTGCTAATAACAGTTGTCTCAGTGTTTTCCAAGAGTTCCCAGTGTTGTTCCTAGTGTTGTTCCCAGTTCTGTTCACAGTTTTCCCAGTGCTGTTCCAAGAGTTCCCAGTTCTGTTCCCAGTGTTGTTCCCAGTGTTTTTCCAAGAGTTCCCAGTGTTGTTCCCAGTGCTAATAACAGTTGTCTCAGTGTTTTTCCAAGAGTTCCCAGTGTTGTTCCCAGTGTTGTTCCCAGTGCTAATAACAGTTGTCTCAGTGTTTTTCCAAGAGTTCCCAGTGTTGCTCCCAGTGTTGCTCCTAGTGTTGCTCCCAGTGTTGCTCCCAGTGTTGCTCCCAGTGTTGCTCCCAGTGTTGCTCCCAGTGTTGCTCCCAGTGTTGCTCCCAGTGTTGTTCCCAGTGTTGTTCCCAGTGTTGTTCCCAGTGTTGCTCCCAGTGTTGTTCCCAGTGTTGCTCCCAGTGTTGCTCCTAGTGTTGCTCCCAGTGTTGCTCCCAGTGTTGCTCCCAGTGTTGCTCCCAGTGTTGCTCCCAGTGTTGCTCCCAGTGTTGCTCCCAGTGTTGCTCCCAGTGTTGCTCCCAGTGTTGCTCCCAGTGTTGTTCCCAGTGTTGTTCTCAGTGTTGCTCCCAGTGTTGCTCCCAGTGCTGTGTTTTGTGATTCTTGAAATGAGAAACATTTTATGTTGATGTTGAAATGTTTTACAAAATGTTCAAATTCTGCAAAGCTCTTTGATGATTGTCTTAATCACCAGAATCTGCACAGATAAACGCTTTCATTATTTACTCACCAAATCCCACTTGATGTTATTTCCTTTCCGCAACATAAAATCAGAAATATTGACACTTTCTATTATTATTATTATTAATAGATTAAGAATAACAATAATAATTTTTGCATTTTTATTATAAACAATATTTCTTGTTTATTATTATTATTATTATTAATAATAAAATAAAAATGTATTTGAAAAGTAAAATAGTATTACTACTATTATAAATAGCAATATTATTTTTATTATTATTATTAACAACAATAATAATTATATAAGAGTAATAAATTATTATTATTATTATTATAAAAATGTCTATTTAAGAAAAAATCAATATTAATTTATTTTGGAACTCGATTTTGGTTGTATTTTGATGAATTGTGAGGCCTTATTTCCCCGGTGGGAATAGAGCTGACTGAGGAACACATGCGGTCTCTGTGCATTAGTGCACATGTTCTGAATCTGAATCATGAACGTCTGGAACATGTTATGGTTGAATAACGAGTCGACACAACTGTCTTGTGATGTTAGTTGTCATGATGTTTTTGAAGTGATCATGTCGTTCTAACTCGTTCTTTATAAACCGTAATCTGCGGCATTCTTAATCTCCTGAAAACAATAGCTCTTGCATAAGGGAAATATTGGACTTGAGGGAAAACTAAATGAATGAAGTTGTCACCAAAGGACAAAAGCTTGATGGGAAATGCAGAGCCTGCAGATATGGGTGCACATGGGCTGAAGGTTAAAGAGCGCTTCATCTTATTTATATGAAAAGAAGCACTTTGGAGAGTTATGAAAGCATCATCTTTAATTCATGCATCTCTGCGCTGCTGGAGAGAACTCGCTGGAAAGATGATGCCTAAAATAATTAAAGTGCGCATGAATCCTGTTTCCATGAGGAGAAACGGCCTTGAACGAGAACTAAAGATGGATGTGAAAAATGCACTGAGGATTATGAAGGATATCAGTTTATTTACTCCTGAACCGCTGAACAACTGATTCTGAACTCAAGACAGTCCTATGCTGTAGCGAAGCTCCGTGATCTGCACATGTATGACGTCGTGAAGTCACACTTTTCATCTGTTCTGTATTATAATTTCACAGATCATATTTTCATGAAAAGCAGTTATTTTTTTAACAATGAATTGAAGTAACTATAATGTTGTAGTTTCAGTGAAGGTCTGA